CACGGCCCCATGGGAGTCTGACAACCAAACAGAATACATTTCTTACGAAGGAACAGGAAACAGAGAGGGGGGACTGAAAAGGTTATAAAAAGCCTAGCAAGCCCCTCCCTCAGCCCTTTTCTTCTTCTCCACCAACATTGAAGGTGGACTCAAACCATGTAGTCCTGTCCATCTTTCCAAGCAGCCTCCATGTCTCCAGTGTCTTTATCCCCACTTGCAGCCGAACCCAGAAGGACACTTCTTTCATCAGTGTAATAAACTTTAGAGGACAGACTAACTTGAAACAACCCATTGAAACAATTTCATCAAAACACTCTCAAATAAGAATGTTTAAGATTGAAAACTAAACATATTTGGTCAATTAATTTTTTTAAATGTTAATAAAGATTGTTAATGTACCAAGCATGACAGAAGCAATAATGAGATAGCATATAAACACAACAGCACCCTGGTAAAATTTCATGTAAGAGTAAAAGCCAGCATCTCTCTTGTTCTTATTCTTTCTTCTTGGACATCTCCCGTTGCTCGCTCTTTCATTTCTGGCCCAAATGAAAATCAGAATGGTAATCTTCAACTTGGCAAATGCAAGAAATACAAGTAAACTTCTCAGGCTGCATCAGTTACAGATCCAGAAAGCAAGTACTATCCCAAAGGTACTTTTACAAAAGGCAACTGGACTTTTTTTTTGGGGGGGGGGAGAGTTGAAGATGTTTTGCTTCTCATACAAGAAGCTTCTTTTCTTGGATGGGAAGTGAAATGTCTTCAAGGAAAAACAAAGTCCACTTCCCTGTTGGAAGAAAATCTGGTCTGATTCCAAGCTGGAAGAAAGACACTGGAAATAAAATGGAGGCAGGCTGCAGGAAAGAAAGTCTCTTGTTTATTTGGTAGCCAGAAACTAGGAACAATGGCATGTTTCTGGGGTGGATGAGAAATGGGGTTGAGAGTAGGTGGGCATACATTCATTGGGGCTTTGTAATTGAGATGTCTGTTCCTGTGCAAGAATATGTCCTTCAAGATCTATGTCTGTTGCCAGATTCTTATGGGGTCATTGAGGAGTCATGGCTGGCTCTATAGGCAAAAAGAGAAATGCAAATCCTAGGTGCTTATTTAGGGTTTCGGGCTGCTCTTTGCTTATGAATAGATTGGCTCAGGCTTTCTGAATGGATAAAAAATCTCCATTCCTGAAGACCAGCCTCTTCAAGTTTCTGCTTGAGGCTGTTTTCCTATGGCAAGAAGACTGTGGCTGCTTTCGGCCTTGGTTAAGATTTTTCTCCTCTTCTCCTTTAGGGAAAATTTTATATCCTGATTCTTTTTAATATTAAGAATAAAGAATATTTTAATTGGGGAGGGGCTCCCTACATGCCTTTAAAAAAGCAACTTTGAGTCACTCATAACCTTGATGACTGAGAAGCTCCATAGACAAAGAAAGTTCTAATTTTCTTGAAAAATATTATATTCTCTGATTCAACAAATAAATTTGATCCTTGTTTTGTAGTCATCCTAACATGATATGGTAGTAGGAAAACAATTCTTCTGCTAGTCCAATCAATTTAATTAAAGGCATAATTAGGACCATTTGTTGATGACTTATTAAACAACAGAGTTGATTTGGTCCAGACACTGGTCTGCTTTATCACCGTATAGATTCTAAAGACATATTATGTCCTACTTGAAAGAAATTACTGAGCATCTTCATTAAAAGATATTTGATTCCTGTCAGTCTGTTTAAAGTTGAACATCAAGAAAAATACCATACATCCAGGACATGTGGAAACAGCATCCCTTATATCGTGTTTCCCCGAAAGTAAGACAGGGTGTTATTTTCTTTTGATCCCCCAAAAAAGCACTTGGTCTTATTTTCAGGGAGATCTTATTATTTTTGAGGTGCAGGAGGAGGCAAGAGTAGTCACCTCATGGCTGCTGCTGTGTTGCAATATTTTCGGGGAGGGCTTTTTTTAGCGCATGCACTCAAAAGCCCGATTGGTCTTATTATCCGGGGAAGTCTTATTTTTGGGAAAACAGGGTAATATTGAAGACACAATGAACATTCTTATATAATAAAATCAATATTTTATTGCCATGCTACAGCTCTTTGTGAAGCTGGCACTTCTGAGGAGGACAATGCTATCAGTATTACAGAATAAATTTAAAAATGGACATCATTTGATAAATCAATGTAAAAGCAAGCTTAAATGGTAATATATGGTTGTTGAAAAACAAATACAGCATGTTTTTAAGACTAACACTATTGCTTCAAAAGAAGCCTGGAATGTTTAAAAAGAGCCACCGTGGATGGGAAAAAACAGCTTTTGAACTTCTCAAGGAGTATTTCGGCAACTTTAGACTTTTTAATATATAAAATAAAACTGTAGAAAGCTACTTTCATACAAAGTTGCTATACTGATGCTTTTATGTAGGAAAACATTTTTATAATTCAAAATTAGGACATACAACTTTACAGTATTTTACAGTGTAATGAAAAATTAACATACAAATACAGATTTGGCTTTCATAGAAATGTATATTTATGCATTTCAGAAATGCATTTGTGGCACACTGGTGATTACAGGACTGTTAGCTGTTTTCATATTAAGATGTCAGATTAATAACTTCTGAAACACTGCCTCCTTTTCTACCTACACAGTGGTTCCAAAGACATAACAGTAGGTGATGCTACAATGAATGGATGTTTATGCCATAAAAATAAAAAGGCATCATACTTGCTGGTTGAGACACACTGTAACATAGTATAATGTACAAACATTGAATCTTTTTTACAAAATGGAAGCATTTCCTTTGCATTCGGTGACAGTCTTACAAGCAACACTATCTGTATTCCTAGTTTAGCAAATAATAAGAATACAGAGTTAATATGCATGTACTTTTAAAGGTGAAGTTAAAGTTTAAGATGTTGACATCCATTGTTAACAAGTATAGAAATTCCTGAGTGAAAGGTCCTCTCCATTTTTAAAATCATTTATTTCACATAGAGTATTTCAAAACTCAAAGCATGAAGAGAAGCAAAATTCACAGTAATATTTACACACGTATCTGAATTTACTGGTTAATTATTGAATACTCGATTTACTGAGCATTTTTCCATATTTTTGGGGGGAGATAATTACTGCAAAAGACAAAATTCATGTTTTTTATTACATTTGAATCTCTAAACTCTGAGAAGATTTCAATCATTCTTCCCTTTACAGAAAGTAATAGTTTGTGTAATTATATGACTATTATTTCCACTGTTATAAATATTTATATGATAAAGATTATGTCTCAGGAAAGTGAGAACTAGAAGATACTTTCTAATTTGGGGCTAATTTCATCCTTTCATATATTAGAGAAATTGTCTAATTGCTTCTATACTCTTTTAAGGCTGTGTGTGTTTGTGTGTGTAGCCCTCTACCTCATAAAATTTATTACATAATGTTTCAAAAGGACATCTCACTGAGAATTACGTTTTCATAAAGGCCCTGTTCCAAGACAGTATTTTATGAGCATACAGGAAGACCACATTGTGCCAAAATAATTAATAAACTAATTTATAAAGACTAGGACTCATTACAAATGTAAATACAAAGGTTAACTCTAGTGGCTATGACAGTCAACATGTATGTTACCAAATATATAATTTTAGCCTTAAAAACCAAAAATAATTTACATACCTTTTGCAAGTACATGGTTAAAATTTGATTTTCAGCAATGCTTCATGGATTATGAAGGCTATTTTGAGGGATCTTAACTTTAGCATACATTCTTTTACAAGAAATGTTAAGATTTGAAGTAAAATTATGGAAACGAGAAGGAAGCTGTAAAAGACTTTCACTCATTTCTCCTCCAATATCTCTACCAAAATCTATGAGAATCGATGCAATCAGTTCAGTGGTGGGTTTCCATTTTTTTTTTACTACCGGTTTCCTCATGCAGATGCATGACGCTTCTGCGCATGCGTAGAAATGTCCGGGCAGGTGAGTGGAGCCTCCCATCGCCGCCACTACCAGTTCACCTGATCCGGGCCTCTGAATCAGTTGTCAATCATCTCAAACTAGAGCACCCTGTTTAGCAAATACTATTCATCCAAGATATCTCCCACAATGATCCTTTACATCTTATCCTATGATATTTTATTTGCTGCTCCAAATCTCAGGGACTGGTTTTCCAGGGTGTGGGGCAGGAAAATCCTGTAACTCCTGTAATTTAATGTTCCTTCTGCTCATGGGTCTCAGGCTCTAGTCTTATTAGCATGTTAGTATATTACCATGTTAGACCATAAAATGTGAAAAACAACTTGGCTATACCACAAAAGCAGCCAGTTATGAAGTCTGAGGTGAGAATTTATTTATTAGAATCAATTAGATAGTGCTGGTACGTAGTGTTTAAACACTGTTATAAGATGGAAGAATGCAATCCAAACGGATACTTAGGGCAGTGTTTTTCAACCACTGTGCCGTGGCACACTAGTGTGCCGTGACATAGTGTAAGGTGTGCCGTGGGAGAATTACTTTATATATAGTCAATATAGGCACAGAGTTAAATTTTTTTAACATTTTCTAATGGTGGTGTGCCTCGTGATTTTTTTCATGAAAGAAGTGTGCCTTTGCACAAAAAAGGTTGAAAAACACTGACTTAGGGGAACATATATCTCATAAATAGACAAAATTCATTTAAATCATGTTGTCTTGCAAATTTATGCTTGAGTTGGGGAATCCAAAATGGACTGACCACTTTAACTAAAATAGTGTTTCATATCATTAGTAAATGTAGAGAAACTCTTGTTATTTATCTGGTCACACACATTTAAATAACATTAGCAAGTAATCCATTGTTGCAATGCATTGCTAATAGAAAAAATAAAAACAGGAGAAGATACTGTAAGATCCATCAAACTAGATTACTCTAGAGAAGAGACAGTGGAATAGTATCAGAATGTCCAAGCATTTTTAATAATTATAGGCTTCAAATCTAATTTAGGACACCATAACTTCCTCTTAGTTTATTTTTTAATAAATGCACATGTTTTAGAACTTTATAATTTTGAAATTAAATGGGAAGGCATTTGCCATAAACTTTTTTTAAATTTAGAATGGATACAATTTCTCAAGCAGGAAAGGGAAAGAACTTTCATCAGGATTCCAGAACAAGAATTCAAGATAATTTTAAAAAAAGTAAAGAAATCATTATATAGTGGGATCACATGCAATATTGCTTTGATATATTCTATTACCAATTTTCTTTACATAATACAGTAAGTACATTTCACTGTACTATTCCTGAGTACATTGAGATAAATCGTAATAGCCACAAATTATATTTCAGCCAAATTATCTTTATCCCATCTACCAAATAGACTTGTATAATTTAGACCTACTTAATACTATGTCTGTTGCCCTTTCAGTAAATGTTCTATTTGATCGTCTTTGCTGGCCAGAAATAAAACTTAACAAACTTTCAGTGAATATACTCTTCTTATTAAAAATATATATGGCAATGCACCCATATATTTTCTACCTTCAGTAATGCAGTATAACAATACATTTTAGTCAATTAAAAAATTGACAGGAGGGGACAGGTGGGAGTGTATGAAAGAACAAGAAGAAAAAAATAGTCTCAGTCAGATTTAGTCTAAATAAACAATCGGATTTAGCTGGTTTATGATATCACTAGATAATCGTTTTTGTAAGGATAATTTAAATTTAAATCAGTTGCTTCTGTTAGAAACCTTTTAATTTTGACTAATAAATGGATAGATGCAATAGTGCAAAACTCACTGAAAATCAGTAAATAATTAAAAAAGAAAAGGATAACTTAACCCAACAGAGAAAACATCAGGGTTGTTGTTGTTGGCACCCATAGGGCAAACAAAAGCTTATACCTCAAGGTAGGAATTTGTGCAATGAAACAAAAAAGGGAAGCCCTATGATGATGACTAGATCATTTTAGCATGCAACTGCACATTGTCATAGCAGAATCACTTTAGAATAAACCATATAAAGACAATTTTGACTATCTTGAAACTGCATCTCATCTGCTTCAACTGATACTAACAATTAGAGAAGCCTCCACATATTTCTTCTATATAGAAATAATTCAATATGTAAATTATTAGAAGTTCAAAGAGACAATTTTGCTTTCTATCATGCTTTAGTAGAGCAGCTTTTAGTTGAACTTATGAAGCTGATCATCTCAACATGTAATCATGGCCGTGTTCATGTGTCTAAAAGCACCACCGGTCTTCCAAACTGATTTTCCTATGAAAAAAAGGAATCTGGTAGTTGAAATAGCTGAGATGTGTTTTAAATGCCTACTACAATCTTTGAAGCTCTGGTAGGCTAAATAGACTCTCTTGTAATGGACGTACATTTTGTGTGTGATCTATGTATCTAGCCTTCAAGTACTTAGGTAATATGGAAAAAGGACATATGAAAATTTGCTTGACATAATATAATTTGGCAAATGTTATGTTTATAGTCTTGATGTAGAAATATGGCACAGAAAAATGGACAGAATTATGGTTTTACTAAATATAATGTTCAGAATAGCAGTGGACAGGCTCTTCTAGCTCTGATGGCACTTTTTTTTGGGGGGGGGGCAAAGTTTTACACCTTCCCTTAGGCTTTTCAGTACAAAACTATCACAGTAAAAGGGTTCAAGTGTAGCAATTTTATCTCATTTCTTGCACCTTTCTACAATATTGAAATTCAGGCTAAATTATCACGAGGTTACAAAAAATAGATTATCAGCGTTACTAAAGGCACTGTATTTTTATTTTAAATTTCATTACTATGCCTGTTAATTCCCCTAAATGTTTATTTTCAGTGCTGTCCTGATAAGCACTGTGCAAGTTCAATACAAATATTAGTACTGATGAAAAGAAAAGCATTTAGAAATTTGCGATTTTGAATTTACCATAATGGACTCTATCCAGGAAAATGTCATCAGCTGACAGCAGCTAATGAGATGTACTGCCAATCACTGGAAACATAAAACTATAGAGAAAAGAAATAACTATCGCAATTACTTTCCAACATACTTAGATGTTTTAGGTACAGAATATATGAAAAATAGAGAAACAGAATTAAATACAGCTCGTCATATTGAAATCTTACTTTTTCTGGTTACATTAGCTTTCCTATTGTATTTTGAGAATTTTGGAACTTGAACTTTTTCTACAGCCTGGTCTCTTCAAGTGTTTTGCAAATGCGGTGCCTCTAATTTTCAGCCAATATGTTGCCTTAGAAATCAGACCATTGTAACACAGCACATTTGGCACCAGTCTGAAGAAAAACTATTTAAGGCATGTGGTTCTATCATAGTTCCAGTTAATTGCAATACTGTAGATTAAACTGAGATGAACTCGTATATTATTTTGACTTTTTGGGGTTAATGTTCCTTATAGAGAATATTCTTAAATTTATTGACAACAAAACCGAAATGCTTGCCAGATAGAATATTAAAATGTCATCATAAAGGAAACATCAATTTTTCCAAGACAGAGTTCTAGTTGAATATCTGATTATATTCTTACACACTATAATTGGAATACCTTTCAGGCAATTTGTCACCATAAGCATTCTAATGAAATAAAAATGAAATTACAACAGAATAGGAACTTTAGCAAAGAGAACTCCCCTTCTCTGTATATATACACAAACACACACTCTCTTCTGGAATTGGAGCCAGCATGCTTCAGAATGGTAGTTTCTGTAAGAGTGACAATGCCACTGCACTCAAACATTGCTGTGAACTCCCCAGATAAATCTGGTTGGCCACATAGAAATTGCCCTTTGGTCTGATCGAATACTGTTCTTATGTTTCCAAAGGTTTCATTGTTGTAATCTGAACTCGTACTGATGCATGTATTTTAGATGTAATGTTCTAAATTACTAAGTGTTAGCAGTGTTGCTATTGCTCCAAATCTGGAATACTAAATACTTTCCAAAACAAATAATTATATTGATTGAAGAATTTGGTCCTTTTGAAGGGTGGAGACACCACCTGAAAGCTCATAATCTGATAAATGTATTATCACCATGTGAGATAAATGTAATTTGGGAATAATTATTTTACTAAAAATCTAGGGGCTAAAAATCTAGTCCTCTTTAGTCAGAAACAATTACCTAGAATCAACAGGTATTAAACTCTAGTTAAGTGTCCAATATTTTGTGTAAAAAATAGTACATCATTATGTTTAGTATCCAAATATACTTCCACTGCTACATAACATGAATATTTACTTTCAGAGCTTCATCTGAAAATATGAATTCCTCTAATTTCTGCATGATTATACTAAGGTCTACATATTGTTTTAAATTCAAATAACAAAATCTTACTTATTACTATACTGATCTTTCCAATTTTACCCCATTTTCTTACCTGTTGAAAAAATCAGTACCTTATGGTACAAATGTATGGATGCCTATTGAGAAGTAAATGAAAATAGACTTTAATAGGATTTAGCCCCAAGTAAGTAGATGAAGGATTGCAGCTTTAGACAAAATGTATTATGCAATAACACTGGCCAGATTTGAATTACCATTCAAATAAAAATGCAATTTTCAATTTTTTTAAATATATGAAGCACTATCATTATGTGCTGATCTATACATTTCATGCTTTTTAAGTCCAATGAGGAAATAAGCATCCTCTATACTGGAATTTCCTCATAATGTTTGGCTTTGTTTTGTTTTTCTTTCCCCTAGGAAACCACACTAGCTAAACTACTTTTTTTTCTACATTCTCAAAATGCATTAGAATGGCAACCTCTCTTCAGAGAGTTCTCCACTTACAACCAGTCATTTAGCAACCATTCAGTTATGATGGCCTCAGAGTGCTTTAATGGTTCATAAATCACTTCTGGCCACCATAATATGTGCTCCCCCAAGCTCACATTTAAAACTGCTTGCAGTGACCCATGAGCATGAACTGCAACATTTTTTGCTGGTTTTCGGCAAAAAAATGTCAATTTGGGAAAGTGGATTTATGACCATGTGATTTGTTTAACAACCACTGTAACCCTAACCCTAACAACTGTAAAAAAAATCAGGTCACATAGAGCCTTGGCTTACAACCAAAATTCCAGTACCAATTGTTGTTGTAAATTGTGGACTATCTGTATAAACTTTATAGCTGCTTAAAACAGGTTTTACTTTTTTTAAATTGTAGATAGAAACTGCTTCATACTGTTATAAACTTTGCACAGCACTGTATACATAGAGACTTCTAACTGGGAATTCGACAGAGTCAAAAATAGATTGAAAGGTAAAACTCAGCAATGGTAAATGTATAGGAAGTATTCAGGAGTAATTAAGCTATCAAGTATCTATTAAGGAGTTATGAGTATTAATTTAAGAGATTACATTCAGTAGGCATTCCATTTTTACTTTCAGTAAAACTGACTTAAGATTAAGTCAGTTTATAGAAAAGAGTAGCTTATAACAAAACTGAAAGGATTTTTGGGCCACAAGCTCATTATTCATAGAACTAAACCATGTTACTGGCTTTTATAAGTAAGTCATACAATGTATTAAATCCATCATTCTAACTTTGATACTTTGGTTTGCAATTCCTTTTTTCTGGGTTAAACTAAATATGAAAACATATTACATCATGCCTCTGTAAAAATAACAATGCTCTGAAATGAACATAATGCATCCTTAAATTGTGAAAGTCAGCTTTCTCTTAATTGACAATATTACAAATGGGCCTTTCCAATACACATGAAAAACACTGAACAAGATGAAACACAGAAAATATGCTGAACACAAATTACATACAGAGTTAAGCTACTGATACAACTGAAAAGAGGGAAGTAAAAGAAGATTTTCAAAAGTAAAAGGTAAAAAGAACCCACTGTAGATACATGATTGTGAATTATATTAAAAATATTTAGAGTGTGAATATCTGTATAAAAGTATAAAAAGAGCTATCTAAAGCAAGACAAATTTTAAATTCTTTGATGGAAGAAATCTGATGGAAAAAAATTAATGCTGTATCTCATACAACAATAGCGGCAGGTGAATTCTAAACTCAAGTTGGTGTATTTAAAAAAATAACTAACACGGAAATCACAAACTAAAGAGACCTGTGCATTAGTGGTACTTTTGAATGGATTAGGAGGAGACCTGATTTTTTACTTCTGCTTGCATCCTGTCAGAGTGCATGGAATATTTGTTCCAGGAGGCCTTCGTAGGTCTTTGAAGGTCTCAAAAGCAGTTTTAGAGAAAGTAATAGAGCTACACAAAGAAAAAAGAGCTAGAAAAGTTGCACTGTAGATAAATGCAATATCATCCTTTATGTCCTATATATACAATTTATAGCCCTTAGCCCATAAAGCATAGTACTCCTTTAACAATATCCATCTTCACTTGGCAAAAGGTTTGAAATTATTTAGGTGCATGTCATTTTCCTGATAAATGATGTACCTTCTTCATATTATTTACCTGTTGTTATTAACTTGAGAAAGAAAAAACAAATTCTAGAACTGCAAAACAAACTTTTTAATAAAATAGTACCAGAGCATGTTTTAAATTACTAGTTGTTGGACTTATGGTTAGTGAATTTAAAGTGCATCTAAAGATCATGGGTAATTTTAAACCAATTCCATGAGCTACATGACATCTGAATGAAATCTTAATGAAGATGACAATTTCATCCATTTTCCCTCTCTCCCAAATCAGCCATTAAATGGCATTCTCCTCAGTACTAAAATTGGCTTTAGTAGATTTAATAAAAGGATTTACTATAGAAAGCTGCTCCTATTAGAAGAGGTTTGGAGGGTAACAGCTGCCTGTCAGTCCTTTCTCAAAAACCCAGCACTCTGAAAGAAAACCGTACCATGATTTTACAACTGACATTGACTAAAATCTTTCTCATTTATACCACACATAAATTCAACTGGAATCTGTGAGTCTATTCATGTACTATGAGAGATTCTACTGATTTGAAAATAATGCAAGTTTCAGGCAGCATAGGAGTGTCATAATGCCTTGACAGTGATTTTAGGCACATGGCCAATTTATTATAATTGGCTACTATAACTTTCAGATAATAAAATAGGCACTATAAAAATGGCAAAAATATTTAAAAGCTGTTTCTATAATTATAAAATGATAATGTTATTTAATACTTTTTCTACCTTAAATTCCCTTTAAGCAAGCAAATGAAGTATTCAGAAAAATCTATTAACCTATGAAAGGTGATAGCATTCAAAAATAAAACAGCACTCATCCAATTAAAACAATTCTTCACAAAGGTGCAAATGATTTCACTACTGCTTTCCAAGCTCACATAGGCAGGTCAGTACTGTTATGCCTAGTTTTTCTAGAAGTACCGTCGTCTCGTGGCAGTGCTTTTTGCAAGTTTGACATAGCAGCAGTTCTTTCGATATCTATCACAGCATATAGCTCGGTGCGCCTGGTTGGTGTTGGAGGAAGTGGAGTAGTAGGAGTTTTGGGAGTCTGTGGGTTATCAGAGTCACTGCCAGCTTCCAAATCAACTTGTATATAATTGAGTTGCCTGTGTTCTGAACTTGGTCGCCTAATATCAAAATTGAAGACCGTAGGGGTACAGTCCCGACGTCTTGCATATTCGACTTTGTGAGCACTTGATGGTACTGTTACATTCTCTGTATTGACATAATTATGCATGGGATCTAAGTTATTATGATAGCCATTCAAAGAGGGAGTCTTTGGTCCTAAACTGTCATCCTCCTCTTTACTTAGCTTATGAGCTTCCCAAACTGGAGGCAAAGAAGGAAGATTTTCATAATTTAACAGTGCAGTTCTCCTTTGAGCTGAATTATTGATGTTTTGAGTATCAGAAGTACTGGATGACACTAGACGACCCCTCCTGTGCCCTGGAGCATTAGGGATAGACAATCTATTTACATTTTCATACGTTAGTTTATTACCAGAAGACACTTCTTTGCGTTCATCACTGTCATATCCAGTATCCCATTCATGGTTACTATTTCCACTAGCTTGAGTATTGCTACCATTTGTTTCAGTATTGTTGCCACTAATTTGAGTACAGTTCCCACTTGATTCCAGTTTTTCCTTTTCCATTAATTGTCGCTGGACAGGAGTAGGGCCCAAAACAAATTTGACTCCTTGAGGTTCCAGTACAACCTGTGCATCCCTGTTATCACAGCAAGCCTCTTCTTCTCTTGCCTTGTTTGTTTCTGCATTGGGAACCTTTTGTTCCAGAGGTGTGCGTGCAGTTGGTTTGCTTTTTCTTTCTTCCTGTACGCCCGTTGTATTCACATATGTATGGACCTGCAAAAGTTAGAGTCCAATGTCAATCTTATACATTGCCATATTCTTTTTTGACCCTTGATCACATAAATCTAACAATGACATATAATAATGTAGACACCCACTAAACATAAAACTGGATTCAGTGTACTTCCATCATATACAGGGCATATTTTAGCAATATTAATATAAATATATCATAATGGCTAGTTACAATAAAATTAGAATATGGAAAAGAAAATTCAGAATAACTTACTTGTTCTTCTGCTACAAGTAAGGGGTGTGTGGACTCTTCACCTACTGAAGGAAGACGTGCACTTCCTACTGAAGGGTGTCGGCTGGAAGGATGTGATGAAGCATCTCCATAGGAGGGATACCTTGGGTACCCATTAGGTAAATTCTGCCCACTCAATCCAGGTGCTGGTTAAAAAGAAAATCCAATTTTTACATTGATATCATTAATATTATTCCTTCAGAACATATATATTAATAAATACTAATTCACTACAAGTTAAACTGTAACAATTGCAAGGGCTTGTCCAGAGAGTAGCTAGGAATCAAAAACTCAAAAAGCACAGACTCAAACATTGCAGCAAAGAGTTCACAGAATTTCATTATCAGCATTTTATCTTAAGAAAAGCAAAATTCATACTTTCTGTTCAGGACCAGGGCCCAAAGATCTGACTAGTATACCATCACTCAGGCTGGGGGGTCAAATTGTATACCCCTCAGAGAGGGTTCGCAACTTGG